AAGCAGATGTAGGAGGTGAGTTCGGAGTTCAACGACAAACAGACTGTAGTACCGCTCTGCCAAATCCACCATCGTCTCTGGACTGCTGAGTGATGGCAGAGTGAGTTGCAAAGGTGTGGTCCTAAGACCATGTTGCCTCTCTACAAATGTCCTGGATGGGAACCTATGACAAAAATGCGTCTGAAGAAGCTTGTGCCCTTGTGGAATGTGCTGTCAGAGCCAGAGCAGGGACTTTCACCAGGTCATAACATGTGTAGATGCAATAAAGTGATCCACGATTAAATCCTCTTCGTCGAAACTAGGAGACCTCTCATCCTGTCTGCCACTGCCACGAAAAGCTGAGTAGTTTTCCTAAACAATTTAGTCCTTTCTATGTAGAAGATCAGTGCTTGCCTGGTGTCTAGTGAATGTAGCCTCTTTTCCTGGCTATTTGCTTGAGGCTTCAAGTAGAAGATGGGAAGAAAGATGTCCCAGTTACCGTGGAATTGCAACATCACCTTTGGAAGGAAGGCTGTGTTAGGGTGCAGCTAGACTTTGTCCTTGAAGAAGACCATGTATGGGGATACCGAAGTAAGAATCCTAATTTCCACAACCCTTCTGGCTGAGGTGAAGGCCACCTCCCAGGACGAGTAAAGAGCATGTTGCCTGGGGCTTGAATGGGAGACCCGTGCGTCTTGATAATACCAAGCAGAGGTCCCAGGGCTCACCTGTGGGTACAGTCTGTCCAGCCCCTTAAGGAAGCAGCTACAGAGCGTGTTAGCAAAAATGAACCTGCTGTTTAACCTTAGGTAGAAAGCTGAAATCATCTCCAGGTGTTCTCTAATCGAATACATGATAGCCTTTGTTACTTCAGAGGTAGCAAATGAGATGGAGGGACTCAAGGTTTGGATGATGTAGGCGTCCGTGATCCTGGGAAATGAGATCCAGAAACAGAGGTAGGGTGATTGGTGTTTCCACTGAGAGGTCCAGAAGGGTGGTGAACCAGTGTTGATGACAAGGGCTATCAGGATGAGTCTCATTCCCTCCTCTCTGACCTTCAGCAGGACCTTGTGTATGAGCGGAATGGGAGGGAATGCATGGAAGAGATGGTCCCTCCATGGGAGAAGGAGCACATCTGTGAGCGAGCCTGGGCTGTGATTCAGGAAGGAGCAGAACTGCAGAAACATCCTGTTGCACCTCATTCTAAACAAGTCTATCTGGGGAGTTCCACTCCTCTGGAAAATGTCCTTCACAACGTCTGGGTAAATGGATCACTCATGATTGGAGATGGATCTGCTAACTCGTCCTATGCCCCGAGAAGATAGAAGGCCTCAAGATGGACTGAATAAATTCCCACAGGTGAAGTGTTTCCTGGCACAGGTGAGAAGAGCACACTCCACTGTGTCTATTTATATTGAATATCGCTCTCATGTTGTCTGTAAGCACCAACATGCATTTGCCTTGCAGGTGGGGCTGGAACGTTTGGCAGGCAAGGCGCACTACTCTGAGTTCCGTTACATTGATGTGTAGCGAGAACTCCTCCTAGGACCAGAGGTCCTGAGTTCTGAAGACCCCCAGATAAAACCCCTCCGCCCCCAACCCAAGCAGAAGTATTGGTGACTAAAGACATTGACAGCTGAGGTTTTGCAAATGGGACACGTGCACATACTGACCCTGGATCCAGCACCACAAAAGTGTGAGTCTGAAGAAGTCTGAGTCGCAAAAGTACTTGTTTCACCACATATGTGCATGATGCCATATGCCCCAGGAATTTCAGGCAATTTTTTGCCATGGTGATGGGTTGGTTTCTGAGGCTCTCTATGATCAAGTCCAGGGCCCAAAATCTGGCTTCCAGAAGGAAGGCTCTGGCCTGGACCGAATCGAGGACCGCCCTTATGATCTCTATCCTTTGGCAGGGAGAGATTGTTGTTTTTTGCATGTTTATCAACTTCTGGAAGGTTGACAACATTAACTGTATATCTGCCTCCGCCTGGGCCCTGATCCACCCTTTGATCAGCCAGTCATTGAGGTTGGGATATACCTGAACCCTTTGTTTCCTTAGGAAAGCCATGACACCACCATGCACTTTGTGAAAATCCAAGGGGTTGCTGACAGGCTGAATGGAAGTACCGTGAACTCGTAGTGTTACTGGCCCACAACGAATCAGAGGAATCTTCTGTGGCTTTGGAAGACTGAAACGTGAAAATAAGTGTCCTTCAAGTCGAGAGACACACATCAGTCTCCTGGATCAAGAGACGGGATAATGGAGGCCAAGGAGACCACGCGGAACTTCAACTTCTTCATTAATCTGTTGAGATTTTGCAGATCCAGGATGGGTCTTAGACCGCCACTGGCCTTTTGGATTAGGAAATAACAGGAGTAAAACCCTGTGCCCCTTAGCTCCAGAGGAACATCCTCTACTGCTCCCACTTGCAGAAGCATTCACACTTCCTGAATTAGAAGTTGCTCGTAAGAAGGGTCCCTGAAGAGGGACAGGGAGCGAGAATGGGAAGGCCGGGAAGAACTGAACTGTAGGGTATTTTAGTCCTATCGTGCATAGCACCCAGCAATCTGAGGTAATATGGGCCCACACCCAATAGAAAGGGGACAGCCAGTCCACAAAGATAGGGGAGGATGGATCCAGACACTGTCCTGGTGCACCGTCCTTGGGCACACCCTCAAAAGGCCTGTTAAGACCCAGGCAATTGTCTAGTGGGCCAAAACCCATGGGCCAATGAGGGCTGGGGAGGAGGCCTCCTTTTGTAGCGCTTACCCTGCCTCTTATTATAATCCTGCCTCCACTGAGGTTAGTAGAAATGAGGCAAAGGCTGGGGCTTAAAGTGCCTCCTCAGCTGGGCTGGGGTATGTAAGACTAGTGACTTAAGGTGGCTCTCAAATCCTCTAAGCTGTTGAGCTAAGAGTCTGTCTGCTCTGAAGAGAGAGACATGCTCTCGAAAGGAAGGTCCTGAATTATTTACTGCTCTTCATATGGAAGTCCGGTTTTGCACTGAGGGAAGAGGTGGGGGAATCCTACCCTCCAACGCGATAGAGTACAACCTCCTTGTCTGAGGTGCTTGGGCCTGATGGAAAGCCTAGGGGTCCAAAAAGACCATTGAACGGGTACCTGCCACTGTGCGGGACAGGCCACTGGTGGAAACCCTTGGCTCATATCAGCCATCAGGTACCAGCAGTCAGAGCATTGCTGGCTCCTGCAGGAGCTGTTGCACTCTTGTTCAGAATTCGATGGTGAGAAGTCACTCCCGATGACCTCGGGGGAGTGGTGCCAGATGGTATCAGAGTGGTGCCAGGAGGTGGGTGACTAGTGCTGCAAAATCATCACCGGTTTTCCCTTTGACGGTTTTCCCTTTGACCTGTGGCCAATGCTGTAGCCATTCTCGTTTCCAGTACCTGTTCCTACCTGATGGGGGAAACAGCAGGTTTCTTCCTGCCTCAAATGCCTCTGGCGTAGATCGAAATGCCATCACTGCACTCCTATGGCTCTCACTCGGAGGAGAGTCCAATGATACCAGACTCGACAGTTCCCCTTGCTAGGCTGGAGTTGACAGTACCAGACTGGCAACCATTGAGCCTGGGTGGCCTGACATGCATCTCACTCTGCCAGTTTCCTTGTGACTGGAAGACTTCTGAATTGGGGAGTGTCCCCTGTCCATCTTTCGTTGTTTCTTCGGCACCGAGCATCCCCATGAGGGTTAGATCTTCTCTGCATCGGAGATCCTTGGTGATGCCAAGAGTCCTGGGACACAGACGAGGAGTCCTTTCTTGGTGCCGGAGTGGCTTGGCTATGCTGCCTGTCTCTCAGAGAAGCCAGCATGCTTCTAACCAAGATGGAGGGGCTCAGTACCGAGTAGCGACTTGGCTCCCAAGAGGGGACGAAGAGCAATCTCCATGAGGAGGAACTCAAGTCTCTGGTTCCTGTCCTTTTGGATACAAATCTTGTTGCTGTCCCGCAGGTGAGATTCCCCCACAAACTTAAGGCAAGGAGAGTGGGGGTCACTACTCTTGGCATGGGTTTATGCCAAGTCTCACACGGCTTAAACCTCGGAGACCAAGGCATGCCATAGTGCCGGGGAAGAGGAAACGCCAGTAAGCAGGGTCCTACTCTATTACTACCATCTAACACTAAAACTATAATATCTACTGTTTTATGAACTATATACAGGAAAAAGAGACAAAGTCCACTGAGCAGAGTACATGTATGAACGCAAAGATGAACAGAAGTTCCAGCAACCGTCAGGGGTGGTAAGAAGGGACTGGGGGAAGGGGGTCAGCAGGCCCCTATATAGCAGCGCTATGAGGGCGCAACTCCAGGGGGCACCAGAGCCAACCCAACAGATACCACTGAGGGAAAGACTTTCTGGCGGCAGTGCATGTGGCGTGTGCACACCTACATTGAAATGGATATGAGCAACCATGGCTGTTCACTCCCTGATCACTCCCCTCTTGGCTTAGACTCTTGATTATAATGCTGTGCTTGCTAAAACCCGCATTCAGGACAGCTTTTCACCTTTCTTCCATATGAGAAGCATTTACTATGGTGTGGAGCGACAGGGGACAATTAAGACATTTTTTTAAAATGTGTATGTTCCTCGCAATAACGTTCACTTTATCTCAGAACAATGTTACCAAAGCTAATTGATTTAATGTTTTTTACATAAGGGAAGTACTGTAACTCTAATATTGGAATACCTTGATCAAATTGCCTGTTTGTTTATCTTTGTGACCTGTTATAAAGCATAGGCAATTCACCCTGACCAAAGAAAATGAATTCTCTTGTGTTAGAAAAACAGATTATGTTGCTTATTTACATCTAAATCTTAAGTGTAAATGTGTGTGGCAGGTCAATAAGTGGATCAAATCAATGTTTCCGAAGTAACGTTCCCCTAAATCAGATTTTTTTAAAAGCATTCTATATTGTAATTTTCCTCATTACGGCTATGATGAGAAAGTGATGAAGATAGAACTTTAATCCCCTGTGGAAAAGGTCACAGTATTAAGCCTACCTGACTAGATTTTCATTGTCTCCAGTCCCCTTGCACGTAGCACATTCAGTTCTTAAATCCTCTGACTTGGGCTTCTTTTGTAGAACAGACTGCCTTTGCCGTCTTTCTCTAGGAATACGTTCCTATCACAGAAGAAATCAAAAGAAAGGGGTGGGGAGAGGGAAAGCAAACATTTTCAATTATAGTACTGAAGGCAACATTACACACCTGAAGTTTAATATTTTGTGAATCTAAGTTAAAAAAATACACTATTATCCCAACCTCAGGCTTTTCTTCTTCAGGCACAAAACTTCGTTTTCGTCCTCTAGTTCTCTAAAAGAAAATACATTTAGAAATTAATTTAACACAAAATGTCTTTACAATTAATCTACTGTTCACAAAAGACATATCTGCAGAAATTTGTTAGAACGTAAACTACTGAACAAATGCAAAGATAACTACAATCGTAAACATTAGAGCATTTTCCTTAGTCTTTTGGAAACTATTCAATACACAGCAACATCAAAAGAGTGTGTGATTACATCTATTTAATGTATTGGATTGGAAGTGTGGATTCTTGTTCCAGCAAAATAAATTTCAATGGTTTTCTTCTCAGAAATATTCTAGAAAAATACACAAACCTTCTATAGACCATTGCAACCTAACAAATATATAATTTACACATATATGGGAACAAACTATTTGTAAGAGTAGAGTCCAATTCCTCAAGCATGTATACAAGTGCTATGCTAGATCTACTAGCTCTAATCAAGATACTGTACTGTTATTTATCTGCATGAAATGTCCTGTAAAGCACTTTAAACCTAAGCTCAAATCTTTGACCCCTCTAGAAAGTTATTTCAGTTCCCCCTCTGCTTCATCTGAGCAGAGAAATCCATATTCTATGATGTTATCCAATATCTTTTATAGGTAGAGCCAAGATCAACACATTTACTTATCTAACTCACCTACCCTTCATGAGAAGAGGGCCAGAACACACTCCTAAAATTGAAAGCTTTTGAGGGTAAAAATAAAGCTGTAAGCATTATTTCTTCTACAAATATAAAAGATCAAAGTGCTGTGCTAGCACAGATCTGCTGTGGAAATGATTACAACAGGTGTGCCGTGTCACGACAAGAACAGCTACTGTGGCCAACTTTAATCATGACATCAATGAATACAAATCACTGTTTTATTAATATAATTTCCTCACCTTCCACTCCCACTCCATAATCTGATTAAGAAATGTGAAAAAAATGAAATGCTTATACAATATAAAAGCTTGGAACACAATTTTCAAAAATAAGGAGGGGGCTAAAGTTAGGGTCAAATACCATATGTAGGCATCTTACCAATGTTCAAAAGTGCAGAGCACTCAGTGGGGGTCAAGGGATTCTGCTAGAAGCTCAACAGTGAGAAAAACAACCTTATTTAGGTTCCTGGATATGAATTTAGAAGCCTAACTTTAGGTCTCTATTTTTGAAAATCTTGACCTGATTATTCTAATACACACAGAACATACAAATATACCTATTTTTTGTGTGTGACAATAAATAATAAGGTTTTACATTCCATAACCATCCTAAACTATGGATTTTCTTTTATATACGTAACAATATATATAACACCATTAATTGTGTGTACGAGTATATTATACAAACAATTTTATTATATATTTTCTTTATGCTCCAAGGATATTACAATTTAATACCACAGATCTGAAATTAATAGGAAATAAAAATTCTTTTGATAATACTATGCATGTGCATTGTCTCTTCGCTTACTCAGAATGAATTAACATTTAAACAAACAAATGGCAAAAATTAACAGGTAAGTTGCTCTTAGTTGCATCTCTCCAAACCTGATTCATATTTAAGTGAAGGAAATGTTTCTGTTCTGGGGAAATTAAAACTGTTCAATGTTAAATAGGACAACTAAGCCAAACCCCCAAAACCTTTTGTCAAATTGAACAGCTTTCGATGTATGTGGACAGAAGTGCATGGAGAGAGTGATGCCAATAACTATCTGGCAGATGTTCGTAAAGCTGCAACATTAACTATATAGCAGTATTCACAAATACATATGGAAAGATTAGGCAGATATCTTTTTAAAATTATGAAACGAAGTACTGAAAACAAATCATACATTAAAGCACTCAGAATATATAAAAAGAAAATATGCAACATTTTTAAACTGTGTGAATTTAATACCATATGTTTTCATTGGCTACTAGCACACAACAGATGGAATAGTTATCACCAAAAGTGAAAACTATTCCAGCATTGCCAATTGACTGTAGAATATAATTTATTTAATTTACTTTATACTAACAGTGCTAAGGGGGAAAAAAACATACTATAATACAACGTAAGAGGTTTCAGTGATCTCTACAGCAACAACTTTTAAGGTTTCGAATCAAGTAAGCAAGTCACACACAGAAATCCACCTTGAGAGAGTCACTACATTTATCTCTTTTAAACCACAGTATTAACTGTAACCTTCATGTGCTAAACAACTGGCACAAGCTGAATAACACCCTTCCCCTCATCGCCCCCAAAAAACCATTCTAGAGAACAAGAAAAGAAAATGAAGCTGGGAAATTCAGAGATCATTCCAATAATCAACCTTTGATACCACAAATGTTAAAAAGAATGTTTTGACACACTGCTGGTTAGCCATTTATAGCTAGTTGATGCATCTGTATTACAGCACTGCAGGAGAGCAGGTTAGAATATCTGAGTCCTATGAAAAAAGAAAAGGAGTACTTGTGGCACCTTAGAGATTAACAAATTTATTTGAGCATAAGCTTTCGTGAGTCCTATGAGTAGGTCTACACTTATGGCGGCGTGTAGAGTACAGACACTGCACATCCAGCTAGCGCAGGGATAGCAGTGTAGACAGTGAGGCATTAGTTAGATGAATAGACTACAGACACACCAATTATTTTAAAGAATAAACCCTACATGGCTTTCTACATGCCCAAGCTGGGCTTCCTACATTACACTGTTATTTTTAGCAGTGTAGTGTCCCACTGTCTCCCACTGCCAAAGTCCTTCTCTTCTGCAGTGAAAGACTCCAGCAGCAGAGAAAGGCTCCAGCAGTGGGGAAAGGCTCTAGTAGCTGCTTTCTGCTAAAGCCTTTACCTACTACCTCCCTCCTGCCAGAGTCTTTCATTGCGGAAGGGAAGGACTTTGGCAGTGGGAGACAGCCATGTGCAGCTGCATACCACAGTGTGGACGCAGCTTGCCTTTCACTGCAGCGTGTAGCTATATGTACCTACCCTACATGCTGCCGCAAGTGTAGACAAGTCCTATTGTGATCATTCCTGGGGTACCCAGGGTTGTGAGGCACCTCACCACCACTTGCCTTTAGCATGAGTGAGCCTTATCTGTGCCTGCTGTGGATCAACTCCCTGTAACTACCAGCCTCGGGCAATACAAGCAGCACCTTCCAGGCCTCCACAGGCTTTGCCCTCTCTGTACAGGTTAGCAATAGACACGCACCAACACCCTGAGTTCTCTGAGAATACATTTGGAGTGCTCAGCCCCTGTTCCACAGAACTCTTATAGACACTGTTCCCAAAGTAATAGTACACATCAGCTTCTAAGAGTCAACTTAGGATCACCACTTTGTTTAACACATAATACTGAGATTACAGAGATAATGAAAACAAGAATAAATTTATGATTAAAGAACAGGGATTCAAAAGACAGTGAGTAAGAATATAGGAAACAGTTAACATATAAAACAAAATCATAACATGCTTCCTAGAGACTAAACCTAACAAACAAGCCATTCCCCTATCTACTACAAGATGGCTTACCCCCAGTTTTCCCCCCCAACATGGTTGAGACACCTTCTCATAAAATCAAGCCTGCTGGCAGGTATCCTCACAGATTGAAGGCACACCTGGGGGATTCATCAGTACCCTAGATATAGTTTCAAAAGTTCACTTAAAAGTTTCAGCCCTGAACAATATAACTCCTGCTGCTTTTGTTTTTTTCTCCAGCACCCAAAATATATTGATTAGAATTTTGCTCACACTGTGAATGGGCATTCATTGTGAAGGATACAATACTCAATTTGCATATAATCAGCCAGAGTGAGAGAAGTATCTCTCTCTTAACCTGACTTAACTTGCAGACCTAGAGAACATGATTTTTAGTATATATACATCTCACAATGATTATGATTGACCAATGTGACACAGGCTTTTATTAGAGATCTTACATGGCATTCTTTTGGTGAACCCAGGGATCCCTGTACCCCGATGTATCCCTGTGCCCCAAGCCGTTGGCATCAAGAGGTCACACCTATGTCACCAAGTAATCAAACATTCATTGATTACAAATGAGATAGTTCAGACTGAGAAAAGATTTCAGTTGCTCCTAATTTTCCCTTATAATCTGTCATCCTTCTCTGTACCCCTCTAATTCTGAGATATCCTTTTAGAGAGTGGGTGATCAGTCCAGGACACAGTATTCTACATAAGGATATACCATTATTGTATATACTGTGTCCAATTCTGGCTGCCATGATTTAGGAAGGATATGAACAAATTGGAGAGTGTCCAGAAACGAGCAACAAAAGTAATAAAAGGTTTAGAAAACCTGACCTATGATAAAAAGTTTTAAAAAACTGGACATGTCTAATCTTCAGAAAAGAAGACTGAGGAACCTGATCACAGTCTTCAAATAATTTGAGGTCTGTTATGAAGAGGATGGTGATCAATTGTTCTTTGTGACCATTTAAAGTAGGACAAGAAGAAATGGGTTTAATCTGCAGCAAGAGAGATTAAGGTTAGATATTAGGAAAAGCTTTTAACTGTAAGAGTAGTTAAATTCTGCAATAGACTTCCAATGGAAATGATGGAAGTCCCATTATTGGAGAGTTCTAAGAACTGGTTGGACAAAAACCTGTCAGGGATGTTCTAGGTCAACTGTTCTCAAATTGGGATCTACAGACCCCCAGGAGTACTTACAGACTGTACAGGTCTGCAAAATATTACAAAAAAACCCCAAAATCTCATCTCATGTCTGCACTGCCTAATGATTAAAACAGATAAATCTACTATTTCTGTTTATATAACATATTCCATGGTGAATGAACACTACCATAACACTCACATTGTATAAGCATCAATGTAAAAAACATCTCACTGCTTTGCTACAGCAAATCAGAAGCGACATCTGGTTTTTTGATGACTGATACCATCATTGGTGGGTAGAAGTGGAATATGTTTTTACAGCGTGTGAGCAAATTACATTGTAAATGGATATGTTTTTAAAACATCCTCATACTAGTACTGCTAGTTGTGCTGACGCCATGGACAA